TTCTTTATAGTCCAACTCTCACATCCATACATGACCACTGGAAAAACCATAGCTTTGACTAGACAGACCTTTATTGGCATGTATGTATCTTTACCATGCTTTTATGTGTGTATCCCTTAACCGTACATATTGTGGATATAGATGATTTTACTGCTTCTGTTTATTAACCTTTCTACTAGCTTTCTAAGTAATTTATCTACTGGCTTTACTCTGTGTAGAGTGTGTGTGTGTGTGTGCGCGCGCACGCGCATGCATGAGTCGTTCAGCCATGTCCAACTCTTTGTGACGCCATGGACTATAGCCCGCTGGGCTCCTGTGTCCGTGGGATTCTCCAGGCAGGGTTGCTGGAGTGGGTTGCCATTTCCTTCTCCTGGGGGATCTTCCCAACCCAGGGATCGAACCCTGGTCTCCTGCATTGCAGGCAGATTCTTTCCCATCTGAGCTACCAGAGAAGCCCCCTTTATTGTATACCTACATTTACCAATAAGATTTTTCCTTTTGTAATTTTCTAATTTCTGGATGTGGCCTTTGCTTTTTCACTCAGAGACATGCGTAGAGTTGTAAAATGGGTTTAGTAGTGCTGAACTCTTAGCTTTTGTTCATCTGTGAAACTGTCTTATCTTTTCCTCAAATCTAAATGATAACCTTACTTGGTAGAGTATTCTTGGCTGTAGGCTTTTTTTCCTTTCAGTACTTTTAATATATTGTGCCTTTCCCTTCTCACCTGCAAGGTTTATGCTACAAAGTCAGCTGATGGTCGTATAGGAATTTCCTTGCTCTTCTCTTTTAAGATTTTCTCTTTGCCAATAATTTTTCCTATTTTAATTGCAGTGTATCTTGCTGTGGACCTTTTGGGGATCATCTTGTTTGGGACTTTCTGAGCTTCCTGCACCTGAATGTCTGTTTTCTTCCCCAGACTAGGGAAGTGTTTTAGCTATTATTTCTTCATTTAAGTTCTCTACCCCTTTTCTCTATTCTCCTTCTCAGACCCCTGTGATGTGAATGTTAGGTCAATGTGTTTGATGTTGTCCCAGAAGTCTCTGAAAGTATCCTCATTTTTTAAAATGCTTTTCTTTCTTCAGCTAGGGTGGTTTCCACTTCTCTGTCTTCCATCTCAGCAATTCATTCCTCTGTGTCATCTAATCTAGCTTTGATTACTTCTAGTGCATATTTTTTATTTCCACTATTGTATTCCTCAGCTGTTTGTTTCTGCTTTGTCTTTTCTAACTATTTATTAGACATCTCACTGTGTTCATTCATTCTCCTGAATTCTTTGAACATCTTAATGATCATTACCTTGAACTCTTTATTGGGTAGATCGCTTAGTCTTCTTCTGGGGTTTCTTTGTTCCTTCATTGGGGACATTTTCTTCTTTTGCCTCTTTCTGCCTCATTTTGTTTTTATTTTTATGTATTAACTATGTCACTTGTGATTCTTGGTCTTGGAGAAGTGGATGTCCTTGTGGAGGAGACATACTGTGTGCCCAGCGGCACACCCCTCCACTCACCCAAGCTCTGTGCCCGAGAGGTGCCCGGCACGTGTTGCATGGGCCCCTCTGTGCAGCTGACCACTGTGAGCCCAGTTGGACGCTAGGCCCTGCCTCACGCATAGGCTGCCAGCCACTGGTGGGCACAGTCAGGTCCCAGAACAGCTGTCTGAGCAGCCCAGGGGGAGTGCCTAGAGCTGGTGTTGGCCTGCTGATGAGCCGGGCTGTGTCCCAAGATGAAGGCACTTTAGAGCATGTGAAGGTGGAGTGAAGTGTGGCCTGATGATGGGTTTCTTCACTGTGCTAATGCTCACATTCACATCAAAATTCTATGAAAATTACTGAGCAGAAACAAAACCAGTCTGAGCAGGCTTCTGACACCATGGAATTGGCTCCGGTTTCCTTCTGAAAGGTTGCTGCTGCGAGCCGTGTGTCATGCCAGTACTTGTGATCTGCGGAGGAGAGGATTTCCATCCGAGTTCAGAGATGAAGCGTGACCGCTTGGAGTTTCTTGTGTAGCAGAGTTTCATTAAAGTATAATAGAGGTAGAGAAAGCTTCTGACAGACATCAGAAGGGGACAGAAAGCGTGCCCCCTTCCTGGTTGTTAGCAAGGTTCCTTATGTCTCTTAGCAAGCCGCTGACCGGATAAGAGAGACACCTCGCGGCTGAGGGAGTTCCACCAGGCCCCGCCCCCACAGCAGGCATTCTTGAGATGGGATGGCAGAGGCGTGTCATCCCCCAGCCATCCGTCAGTTGACAGGAATACTGGTTTATTGAGCCATTACCAGCCCAAGGTTTGAGAAAAGGAAAAAAGCTAGTCTTAGGCGGAACTATCTTAAAGAAAGGCAATTTCCAAAGCAAATACATAGTTTCATTAATATAGTTCAAGAAAAACATTTCCATGAGGAAAACATTGGTTAGCTCAACGCAGAACCAGGTGTCCTCAACACAGAATTAAAAGACGCCTCTTTTAATTTTCATCTGCCACTTGCAGTTTATTTCCTCCTGCCACTTGGGAACCTCTGGCTTCTTGCCTGTTACCCTCTCCCTTGTCTTTATGTGATCTCTTTGTAGTCAGGGTTGATCTTGACCTAAACACTTCTTCATCTGTGTTAAAATTTAGAAGGGTTTCTTTATTATCTTCGGGTACAGATTTGAAGAATTTCCCGGGTTCATCATTTTTATGTTATTTGTGCTATCAGTTTTGAGATACCTTTTCTATTTCAAAATATTTCCATATTGATCCATTCAGGTTTTTTTCTCTAGGACTCTTTCATACAGAGTTGCCTCATCTTTGACTAAAACTACTCCTAATCTTATATCATTTGTGACTTTCTTTACCTAGTGATGTTTTCTTATTAATACTTGAGTGAAAGTGTTATCCTTTTGTTTGACTGCCTCAAACCTCTTTTGTATTTTACAGTCTTCACTTTAGTCTCAGTTATTCTTGTTTGAGTAATTTTTTTTGTCTACTTGGGTTAATATTCCATAGTCCGTTTTGATGGTACATCTCCATTTTAAGCTGCTGTCTTTAAATTCAGACAAATCTTACCAAGGGATCCCAGAGGCTGTCCAAGGTTTTTTCTTTGTTGCCACTTGAAACTAACTGGACATGGAATGTTTCATCATAAACCTGATTATTTTTTTTAGTTCTCTAGCATTTATTGCCCTGTTCAGTTTCCTCTGAATTGCTGGTTTTCTGTCCAAACACAATTTGCAGCTGCGTCTTCGTGCCCTTGAATGCTAGTGATACCTGGAACCTTCCTCTGAAAAGCTTAGCAGCAATTCTTCTTTATACTTTTTACTCCTTTATACTCCTTACGTTTCGGAGTGATGAAGTCCTGAAATAAAGAGATGTTCTGCTCATGTAGAAATAGGTTTCATGAATTAGAAAGGAATTTGATGTTTGTTGGCTGATGTGTGGTAGGGGCAGGGTGAGGTACGAGTGATACAGAAGAGACTGAGAACAGCTTCTCAGGAATATGGCCTTAGAGAAATTAAGTCTGATTTATGTCCAAAAATCACATCTACTCCAGGCCATAATTTGCCACATTTAAAATAGCAAGGAAATGTGTGTGTGTGTGGTTTTTTTTAATATCTTCCAAATTGTTTGGTTTGTGACATCATTAGAAAAAGAATGCAAGTTTCTAAGTTGATTCCTTGAAATAAGACAAATCTTTTGGATTTACAAGCTCTTTTATTTTTCTGAGTCAATGTGATCTACTCCTAGACACACCCAGTGTTTATTGAGCATGTATGGTGTTCTATAAACTCAGTAGAGACTTCTGAAACAGGATAATAATGTTAACCATTTCAAGGATTTTATAGTCGCATTGGGGAGACAAGGCTCCTGCATTAGAAGTAGGAAATGATGTAAGATAGAATATTGTTCGTTGTAAACTAACGTAATACAGATTGTTAGTCCTGTGAACTTTAAAGGAGAGCTAGTAATTAAAATGAAAAGGGGCTTCCCTGGTGGGCTCAGAAGTAAAGAATCCGCCTGCCAGTGCAGGAGACACAAGTTTGATGCCTGGTCTGGGAAGACTGCATGCCACGGGGCAACTAACTCCTGCCCCGCAACTATTGAACTTGTGCTGTGGAGCCTGGATACGGCGACTGCTGAGCCCACACACTAAAACTGCTGGAGCCCGCAGGCTACAGAGCTGGTGCTCCGCACCAAGGGAAGGCTCCACCGTGAGACTTCCGTGCACTGCAGCTGGAGAGTGGCCCCCCCACCACAACTGGGGGGCCTGTGTGCAGTTACTGAGTGCTGGGGAATGCGCCTGTGTCCCCCAGTCAGCCTTCACAGCAGCTCTGAGCGAGCAGTGAGCAACTCGGGCCCGTAGAGCTGACAGACAGCAGAGCTGACATTCGGTACCGTTTCATTCTGCCGCCAAAGTCCGCGTGCCCTTCACTGCTCCCGTCCGCACTGAGAGACAGTGGAGGAAGGTGCTACAGAGCATCTCAGAGAAGAGGGCACCAGAGGGAGCCTTCCAGGAGCAGAGGCAGGATTGAGCACAGGCACTCGGAGGGGAAACCAGTGAGGGTCGCTCGTGGGGCTGAGACAGGGCCAGCTAGAGCCAGATATGGGGGGTGTGGTACTGGAAGATGGTGAGGCCAGGAAACACCTAATGCTCCAGGGCAGCCTGGCCCAGAGGCACTTCCTGCCGGGATGAAAATGCTCTGTGCCCGTGCTGTGCAGTAATCTACCTCCTAGGACGCTTGGCCCTTGAACTCCTGAAATGTGACTACTCCCACTAAGGAGCTGATGTGCAGACTTAATTGTGAGTGGTGCTTACATATGGGCAGCGTAGCTCTAGGGTAGGTAGACGTTCACAGCCTTTGATTGGATATAGAACTCAGGCAAGTGCTGATTAAAGAATAGCGATTTCAGATGTATTTGAAAGGAACTGATAAGTATTCCAACTGCATTCTCACTTGGAGAATGATATAACTAATAAAAATGTGGTAAAACTGTTTTGTAACTTTGTTATCTCCTGGCTTTTTTAATAGGGGCTGAGGTTTATCCAACTGAAAAATCCTTGGAGTCATTTACGTTGGAAAGGAAGATACAGTGAAAATGATGTAAAAAACTGGACCCCAGAGTTGCAAAAGTATTTAAACTTTGATCCTCGAACAGCTCAGAAAATAGACAATGGTAAATATCTTTTTAATAATATGTCCTTAACATGCTTTAACAGTGTAAAATGTACTCAACTGACAGGTCATTAAGGTTTTTTTAGACTAACAAAGACATCTAATTTTTAGGAATATTTTGGATTTCGTGGGATGATCTCTGCCAGTATTATGATGTAATCTACTTGAGTTGGAATCCAGGTCTTTTTAAAGAATCAACATGTATTCACAGGTAAGTTTTTTGCACATTTCAAAATATGCTTCATAGTAGTATCCCTTCTTTCATTTAAAATGAAATTATTTGGGAAGACTAGTATTCCCTCTTTTTATTATACCCATAGAGGGCTTCCCTAGTAGCTCAGCTAGCAAAGAATCTGCCTGCCATGCAGGAGACCCTGGTTCAATTCCTGGGTCGGGAAGATTCGCTGGAGAAGGGAACAGCTACCCACTCCAGGATTCTGGCCTGGGGAATTCCGTGGACTGTATAGTTCATGGAGTTGCAAAGAGTCGGACACGACTGAGCGACTTGGGCTTCCCTGGTGGCTCAGATGGTAAAGAGTCCGCCTGCTATGTGGGAGACCTGGGTTCGATCCTGGGTTGGGAAGATCCCCTGGAGGAGGGCATGGCAGCCCACTCCAGTATTCTTGCCTAGAGAATCCTCAGGGACGGAGGAGCCTGGCAGGCTGCAGTCCATGGGGTCACAGAGAGTCAGACACGACTAAGCACACAGCATGCATAGAGGACTGTCATGTAATAGTCACTTTCTTTGTATGCTTCTTGATCATGCCAAAAACTTAAAAACAAGAAAACCTTATAACCTAATTGTGTTTGAAACAAAGCTTTTTAAAATAGCGTTTCCGCTGAGCTCTATGAGAAGTTTAATCACGGCCTCCCTGCTGATGTTGTCTCTTAGCACCTGGGACGCTAAGCAAGGCCCGGTGAAGGACGCCTACAGCCTGGCCAACAACCCCCAGTACAAGCTGGAGGTGCAGTGTCCGCAGGGGGGCGCCGCGGTCTGGGTTTTGCTTAGTCGACACATAACGGACAAGGTACTGGTGCCCTCCTTACATCCCATACAGACGTTCCTTCAGATATAATTAGACCAGCATGAGCACGGTACGCAACTTGATCACCAGCCTGTTCCCTTCATACAGGTGGCTCGAAAATAGTGTTTTCTTAGATAATTGAATATTTTCCTCAAAGGAAATTGGTAATTTATAGTTATACACTTCAGATCTCTTGCAGAAATCATGTATGAAGAACAGCATGAGGGAATCTATGCTTTCTAGTGAGAGTTTTAGTGTTGATTATATACGCTTTAGATCTTAAGAATATTAACATAAAATATGCTAAAGGGGTTTTGGAAGTGTTAATTCATTAGGCCTGGTTTTATAAAGGGTAACCATAATTTTTAATGGTTTTTAGAGTGTTTTTGTAGTATATTCTTTCATACAGCATGCTTGTCTACTGAAATTACAGTTTAATTGACATATCTTATAACAGTAATAGACACGCTCTTAAACTTAGAAACAGTCTCCTTCTCCTCCCCTACCCACCTACAGACACACACACACACACACACACACACACACACATAGGAACACTGTGAGTCGATTTTCCTAATCATATTCAATTCTTTGTGCTTTTAGGATGATTTTGCAAATAATCGAGAATTTATCACAATGGTTGTATACAAGACTGATGGGAAAAAAGTTTATTACCCAGGTATGTGTAGTAAACAGACATTCAAACAAACATTAAAATTCTATTTGTGTGATTAACTTGAAAAATGACAAATTTTATGTAGGTAATATGCATATATTAATGATTATGCTGTTAAGAATAATAGAAACCGCTCAAACAGATGTGTGTCTATTTATGCTACATGTGTTTTATTTTTTTTTAATTTAGAGACCTCAGGGATTTGGAATTTCTGCACTCTGGCACATTGCTGTCAGAGCTTTATTTCTAAAATTTAAATCCTGCCTTTTTCTCTGATCAGAAATTCTGTGGTTTTCTACAGACTCTTGGATAGCGTCCAGGCTCTTGAGTGAGATGTCTGGGGCTTTTATACTCTGGCCCTCTCCTGCAGGCGCCCTCAGCGCAGGCCTAGCTGCTCCTGAGCACGTCAGGCCCGTGTTGCCCTCCTGTCTCACTGCTTCCGCCAAGAGTCTCTTCTCCCTGGCCTCTGCCCACGCATTCCTTTTACTCTATTCTTTGTGATGAATGTGGTTAAGGTCCAGTTTATGTTATTTCCTCTTGACAACCTTCCTGCCGGATACAGTGAATCTTTCCCTGAGGCATTAACTTAACTGTGTTGAGACCATTTTGCTTTCACATCAAAAGAAAATTTTTTATCATTTACTGAGTGATAGGAACTATTAGTTTATGTTCTAGTTTGGGAGACAAGAAGGGGAAAAAACCTTAATAATGACACCCATGTAGAAAGAAATAACATAGGGTGTTGGTGACTGCTTGGCCACTTTGGGTGGGTGGCCGTGGAAGGCCTTTGGAGAAGGAAGAAGAGAAACTGAATGACGAACAGGAGTCAGTCATGCAAAGACGGAGGAAAGCGCATTGCAAGCAGAGGGAACAGCCAGTGCAAGGGCCCTAACATGGGCCAAAGATGGATGTTTTCTGGGAAGAGAAGGAAGACCAGGAGGCCTGGGCAGTGTGGGGTCAGAAGTGTCAGACGTATGCAGGCTCAGATCACGTGAGGTGCTGTCAGTCCAGCCCAGGAAAGGGTTGGAATTTTGCTCCAAGCACAATGGAAATCTTTGGAGGGTCTCAGGAAAATGACATTATCTGATGTGTGTGTGTGTGTGTGGTTTTTTTTTTAAGAAAATCCTTTGCAGAACGTATTGGAGGGGACATAACTTGGAAGCAGAAGACCCAGTTAGGTGATTTATTTCTGTGAGAAGCGATGGTGGTTTGAACTTGTGGTAAAGTGGAGATGGGAAGGGCATAGGTTTGGGTTTGGTTAGGATTGTCAGGACTTGCTGGGTCAGTGGGGGGTGGCAGGAGTCCAGGACGACGCCTGAATTTTTGGCTTGGAAAACAGAAAGGTGTAGCAGTGACTGCGATGCGGGAGCTGGGCAGGGAGCAGATCTGTTGCGGAGTGAAGCAGAAGTTACTTTTGGGTTTTGATAAATGTGAGACCCCTGTTAGCGCTCCCGTTGCCGTAACCTACTGAGATCGGGTTAGAGACATGTGGACTTCGTGCCCCGGCAGCATCTTTGACCTTGACGAGGACAGAGTGGCCACAGGTGGGCTGGGATCCCAGGGGAAAGGATTGGGTGTGCCTGAGATGAGGCTCTCAAGAAGGCTGTGCAGAGAAGCAGGCACGGGTGGCTAAGGTGGGATCAAAAGTGGTCTTGTCGAGTTTCGTTTTGCTTGATCTTAGGAGAAGGTGGCTTTCTTCCCCATTATGCTGCCTGAGGGTATCCTGAGGGTCTCTGGGATGGGCACAGGACACGCTCAGTCCAGCAATAAACATCGAGTTAAACGAGCCACATTCTCCATGTTGGTCATTATACATCCAGAATAATGCTTACATTCCTAGCATTAACATGTTACACGGCTTTTGAATTTCGAAGAACTTGTTACTCTTTGTACTTGGATTTTTTAAAAAACAATTTCCTTCCTCTCTTACACAGAGTGACTTTGCCATTCCAAGGTACTTCCTGGTTCACATTTTTATTTTGATCACGACACTCAGAAGTAAATTGAACTGTTCTCCATCCAACAGAAAAGTAAACTGAGACACGGGTCAGACTGTCCAGGATCACAGACATGCCAGTCCTTTTCCCCCTCACAGTAGATCATACCACCTCTAAACTCAAGAGACTTACTACATTTGAGATACTAAAATTTTTTCCACAAGTTATGTTATAGATTCATCGTTCCTGAATAATGTCAGCAATATAGCATTGATCTTAAATGACTGACTTGATATGCATGAAATGACTTTATTGTATCAGCCTTGATTCATGAGCCAGTCAAAGAATATCTCAGGCAGCATTACCTGTAGCAGCAAAATACTGGAACCAAACCAAATCTCCACATTATCTGAACAACTAGATGGGGAAGCATAGATACAACGTCTGCTTCACATGATGGCGTATGCTGTTGCACACACAGATTTGAAAAGAGTAAACCTGTGTAGACCAACATGGATCTCAAAAACCTGAGTGAGAGATAAGGTGTAGAACAAGACACATACTGCCTGTTTTTTTACATACATGCTCATGAGTGTGTGTGTGTCTGTGTGTGTAAAAGTCTGCAAAGATGCCTGTCAAATCCATCAGAGTGGAGTGGAATAAGACTTAATGGTGGTGGTTAAAAGGAACTTTGTTTTACAAAGAAGCTAGTATGACAAAAAAAGATAATTGAATCCTCAGTGGTGGAGAATATAGATAACATGTTTATATACTTCTTCGTATCTTTTTAAAAACTTCCTCAAAAGGAAAAAAGAAGTTAATCTTGATTTTAAAATCCTCTGTCAGGAGAGAGAAATATGACACAGGGCAAATAGCAGGGATTATCATATACCTCGTTGAATGTATTCCAAAAGATTGCTTTCTGTGTATTAGAAATTATTTAACTTACAAGTTTTAAGTTGTTTAAAGTTTTAAATTGAAATTGTAATTCTTCAATACCATTATATTTTAAAGATAGAATTAATTAAGGGAATGTCCATCCATTTAATTATTTTTCCTACCATCAGCCATAAAACTTAAAAACTACCGAGCATAAAAGTCCCATCTTCTGTAAACCTACTTGTTTATTTGCAGCTGACCCACCTCCATACATTGATGGGATTCGAATTAACAGCCCTCACTATTTGACTAAGATAAAGCTTACCACACCGGGGACCCACACCTTTACGTTAGTGGTTTCCCAGTATGAAAAACAGAACACAATCCATTACACAGTGCGGGTAAGTAAACCAACATGACAGAATAATGATAGAAAGTACATAACGTCGCTGCTTGTGAGATTATCTAAAAAAAGGTTTATTTATAAAGACTGATCTTTATATACTGCAGAGTGTTTATCTGTATAACAATTGTGTTAAATTATGATGATGATTCATGCAGAAAATGTTTTTGAACAGGAATGAAATGTCTGGTTTTTTTTTTTTAATGTTTTTGTTTTGAATAACATTTTGAATGAATATTATAGGTTTTAGAGTAGTGGTTTAGTCCTGAGGTAATGTGGTATATTGGACCAGTAAACTCACAGAGCAATAAAAACTCCTTTAGTCTACATAATACTTTTATTGACTTAAAAAAGAAAACCTTGAACTTAGTGAAAGGAAATTGACTGCCTATAAACATACTGCTCTCACGTAACTGGGAAGGTCATTGTAATTGTGTTCTTCATAGATTTGTTTGCCGTAACTTAGTAAAGAGGCTCAGTTTGAATAGATTTTTAGTGATGAAAGGGACACTGGGGAGCTGCTCTCTTAATGATGCAGAAGCCAAGCCCTGGGGGATGTGGTGTGTCCCGAGCTGCAGTCCGTGGCAGGTGGAGCCGAAATAAGCACCCTGGCTGTCCACCTGCAGTCCTTTAATCCTGCCCTGATGCAGGAGGCCCGCGGAATCGGGGCTGTCAACTACCCCAGCTAATTTCTTAGTCTTCCAGAACATTCTGAAGTGTGTTTTTGTAAGTATAAATTGTATCATTATAGTAATTTTTATTTTCACTCTAGGTATACTCAGCATGCAGCTTTACTTTTTCAAAGATTCCTTCCCCATACACCGTATCAAAACAGGTAAAAGAGTTTTTTTTCTTTGGGTCAGTCTCATTGAAATCTTAGAATTCTCTTTCTTCTTTTCTCCCCCCCCCCCCTTTTTTTTTCATATTTAGGAGTTTCTTACAAAGTAAAAACATTCTAGGATTTGACTGTCAGTATAGTCTCCAGTCTGGGTTGGAACACACAAACTTCAGTGGGCACTGAGTGATTCTGTGGGGAAAAGTGAATTCAGAGAAAGAACATTCATGTAAACCTTGGTCAGCAGGGAAGGCGGTGTGGATGAACCTTTTAAGCAGAATTTGAGATTGACTCTGCAGGGTGGGCTGGACATGGGCAAGAGGATTTGAGGGAGAATTCTTGGCAGGGAGGACTTGAAGACTGCGGGTGGAGACAGGTCTGAGATAGCAAAGTGGCCGGGCTGACTTGGAGAGTTACCTTGAAGAGTTGATGGAGCCACAGTGGAGCCTTTTTTCTTTTTAAAGGCGCAGAGGAATTTTATTGTCTTTAAAGCAGAATTCTAGAATGTGAAGTTTTGTTAATACAAAGGCTTTGTTTTATTAGATTAATGGAAAGTGGAGTGGTCAGAGTGCTGGAGGATGTGGAAATTTCCAAGAGACTCACAAAAATAACCCCATTTACCAATTCCATATAGAAAAGACTGGGCCGCTACTGATTGAGCTAAGAGGACCAAGGTTTGTGATGTTCACTTTCTTAAATTAATGGTATTGTGTTAAAAATAAGCTTAGTGGAACAGGATTTTGAAACATATATTTGTATGGACACTTGCTCTGTGATTAAAGATGGTATTGCATAAAAGTGAGGAAGAGGTGCTGGAATAATTAATATCCATGTACCAGAAAGGTGATCAGACCTCTGACTCACATCCAGTCTAAAATTCAGTTCCAGGTAGCTTACTGATAACAGGAGATAATAGCCTCAGGATAAGGAAAGATGTCTCAAGACACAACAAGCCCATGAAAAGGTTTGTAAATATCCTATGCTAGTAAGAAAAGTCTATAGGCTTTAAAAAATAACAAAAATAAAAACTTTAATAGGTATGTCATAAGAGAAACACATTGCAAACAGCCAACAGATTGTAAGAGCCAAACTTTAGAACAGCCAGGGTTCATCAGTGGCTTTTAAGATTATAAAAACAGTCGTGCAGTAGAGTCCTACGTAACAGTGAAGATAAATTACAGCTCCCTACAACACGCTGGGTGGGTCTCGGGACCGAGGCTGAGCTGAGCGACAGAAGCCACACAACAGAGAATATACTGTGATTCCACTCACATGAAGTCAAGAAGTGAAACTGAGCTGAACCGTCGCTGAAGGAGGCACACTTAGGTAGTCACACCGTAGACAGAGCAGGAAGGGGATCAGCAGACAAGTTGGCTCTGGGGACAGAAGCTGTGATCAGAGGGCCACACAGGGACTCTGTTCCCGGTGCTGAGAGGGTTTTGTCGACTGACGGATCAACTGGGCGTTTGTTCACTTCTGTTAAGCTACGTATGTTTCATGTGCATTGTCTCATATTTCTTGTGTATTATGTTATATTTCACAGTTTTAAAAGGTTTAAGAAAAGAGAATACAAATAAAAATAGTACCAGCTCCCAAATAAAACTAGGCTTAATTTTGCCTGCCTGTAATTACAAACTGTTCTGAAAGAAACTAATAATCCTTTAGCTAGGACTGAGCTATTTTTCTACAGTCATTTTTAAAAATGTCACCAGTTTGATAGGCAGAACAAGGTACATAATTGCCCTTTTGTATTTCATTTCTAGGAAGCTTGAATATGGAAAAATGTTTATTGACTGTGTATTTTTTCTTTCTTTATATATTTATTCATATCTTTTGCCCGTTTTTCTGTTGTACTTGTCACATTTTTCTTAATTGTAAGCATGAATAAGGAAGGGTATATATGTAGAATATTAACTCCTTCGCATATTTGCAGGTATTTTTCTCTTAATTTTTTTCCTCACATAAAAAAATTTTTTTTCATTATAAAGTAATCAAATGTTTCTTTTGGTTTATTTTCCTGTGGCGAGGAAGTCTTGCCCTAATATCAAATAAAGTTTCACTGTATTTTCTTCTAGTTCTTTTATGGTTTTAATTCTTTTTTAAAATACATATGGATTTTATATTTGTTGTGAAATACAGTTTAACAATTTTTTTCCCTAAGTTTTTGTCATCACCACCTGCGTAAATAATCCTTTCCCTACTGATTTGCAATGTTACGTCTACCATAGGCTAATTCTTCTGTAAATTTAGATTTTATTTCAGGATTCTCTGCTTTTTCACTTTTTTTGCCTCATATACTATTTTAACTATTTTCTGAGAGCCTGTGTTAAAAATAGTCTCTTCTAAAGTAAATTTAGTAAAATGTCCACCTTTGTGGCTTCCACTTAAAAACATAAATGATGTTTTCTGTAATTAAGAGTAAAAATAGTATGCATGTGCCTAGAGTGCTGTTCCCTCCTACTGAAGCTCTAGAAGCATGTACTTAATAGTCTTTCTGAACTTTAGGTATAGTCGTTTTGGGTATATGTTTGAGACAACTTAATAACAGCATTAATTTACTTTTTTTTCTTCTAGGCAGTACAGTGTTGGATTTGAAGTGGTAGCAGTTTCCATGGTGGGAGACCCTGGTCCCCATGGGTTCCAGAGGAAATCTAGTGGTGACTACAGGTAATGTTGGCCTTTTGATTGCTAATTCATACTCTACTTTCTGTGGCATCCTCACTTAAAAACCTTGTTCTCATTTTCCCTGAACATAGGTGTGGGTTTTGCTACCTGGAACTGGAAAATATACCTGCTGGGATCTACAATATCATTCCCAGTACTTTCTTGCCTAAACAAGAAGGACCCTTTTTCTTGGACTTTAATAGTATTATCCCCATCAAGACAACACAACTGCAGTGACAGAAACCTCAGTGATCACTGGATCTTATACTCACCAAACATCAGCTCTTCAACCGGGACACAGATCTCCAGGACACTGTAACCCAAGTCAGAACAGAATGACATCTCTAAAAACGTTCCTGTGGAATCTGGTGCTGAAGTCAGGGTGTGTGGTGAGAACTGTGTGTGGTCAGAATTACTCTCCGTCAGTCAGAAGTACTGTTTACGTGGTTTTGTGTGTATACAGAGTGGGCTTGCACTTAGGGGCCATGTTATATAAAAAGGTATAGATGGTTATAAAGGTTAGACGCAGTCAAGCACTGAGATAGCCCTTACCCGAGACCAGGCGAGGGAAGTGAGGGGTGCAGACGCGTGGAGTGGAACAGCGGGCTGGGGTGCTGCTCGGGAACATGCACGCTGTTTGTCTTCTGGCAGCACATGTTGTAAGGTAAACCTGCTTGTGGTGTTAACTCTCCTGTGTGTCTTGGACAACAGATGACCAAATGAATCGTGTTACCATGAGATGTTAGTTCTGTGTTATTCATGACTTTAAGTGTTTGCTGTTGCCCAGAGGTCATGAAAGGATAAAGCGTTTATGAAACACAGTTCACTTTATAGCATGGAGATGCTCATGCTTAAGAGTGAAGGCTGCTGAGGCTGGACTCTTGTCTCCCACTGGCTCACGTGAAGAGGACTGCAGTCGAGTCATCGGTGCAGTTTCATCAGGTTGAGGAAAGTAGCAGTCTGAGACACCAAAGACAGTACAGTTTAGTTTCTATGGCCCTTCTCTAAATTGCTCCACATAGTTCAGTGTTCTTACGGTAGGCGCACTCTAAAAAACATGATCACGAATTTAACATATGGTCATTGGGTTCCAAGATACTACTGTTATGTGTAAATTCCCAGTTGTTTACATAAAAATCCATTAGAGTAGAATGATGCTCGTTCAGTCAAGATCTTAAGATCTAAAAATAGTGGAATTTTTCATCTCTATTAAAACTTTTGTATTTCTATTATCTTTAATCAAAATAAAATGTTTATACTTATGGAAACTGCATAAAATGTTTATAATTATGGAAATTGCATAAAATGTTTATACTTATGGAAACTGCATAGTTTAACCTAGAGAAATTATTAAAGAACTTCATGTGGTATGTTCCATCTAAAAGAGAACTCATTACTTGCATGAAAATTAACATTTTTACCAAAAAAAAACAAGTCTGTTCTTCATTCAGGCTAATGGCAGATTGTTGTATTAGTGAGATTTCATTTTGGTAGATGAAAAGTGCTTTCACTTTTAACATATTTTAGGTGGATTAATTTTCCGTGACTTTAAAGAAAAATCTAAAGCATAAGAGGTATATTTATTATAGACATGATTTGAGCCTTGTGTGTTAAAGATCTTATCTTAGATTCAACTGAGACCTAATCCCTGCCTTCAAAAACCCAATGGAAAAAAAAAAAGGGAAAAAAAACCCCAATGGAGGAGACCTACATAAACAATTACTGTGTTGTAACGCTGAGTTCTGTAACAGAGCTCTAAACAGAGCGCGATGACTAACTTTGGTTGGACCGACATAGAAAGATAATAGAATCATCTGGGGAGCTTTTCAAAGCCCAGTGCCCGGGGCTGCCCGCATCACTCACCAGCCCCTATGGCCTAGGCCCGGGAGACACCCGGGCCTCGCCAAAGCGCGTCCTCTTTACTTTGTGACCACTGCGTCTCCGTACTGCTCGGCTTCAGTAGCAGCAGAAGTGGAATTCTAACTCACACCTGCTAATCAGGGCATACACTGTTAGGACCCAGGGCCTTAACTGAAAACAAGAATGGGTGACCACTGCACTCCAAGCTCTTCCTGATGGCAAGAGGGCTGCTTCGAGCAGAAGATTCGGGCAGTATCAGGATTCGTCATCTAAACTCACAGAAAGACATTTTCTTAAGCCATTTTTATTACACTCAAGGTATTAAGACAAGTACAAAATAACCTTGTAATCAGGATAGTGTATCAGTCATTAAAAAAGGAGAGAACAGGACAGTGTGAAGAGATTTACAAATGACATGTATATAAGCTGACAGACATGAATGGGGTTGTGTTTTTTTTCTTTTAGATATGCTGTTTTCTTAACAAAAAAGGACAAATAAAATACAATGCTCTAAATACGGGTAGCCATGAAAACAAGAAAAGCAGTCCTACAACACTTAACACTATTAGCATAACAGACACCATTGCTTCTATTAACAGCCTCTGCCACCGTGTGCCCGCTCCCTCTCCTAGCCTAAGGAATAGCTTCCTCTTAAGAAATACTAGTGCAGCATAACCCTTAAATAACTGTTTATTTTTAAAAGTTACAGCCTACAGAGAAATCAACACCTTGTCGATCGACAACAACACTGGCCACCATTCCTCATGCATGGGTCTTAGAATCTAAGTCCCCTCGGCTGGTGGGATGAGGTTTACGCGACAGGGCTTGTTCCACCCCCCCCAACAGCCACAGACCCCATCCACGACAGGCCCCTGCCCGAGTCCCCCGATCCCCACGCGGCATTCACCCTTCCCACCCCAAAAAGTGCAGCTCATGGCAACCTTTGATAAAAAAAAGGATTTTAACGGGCGTCCCAGCAAACACACTTTTTTTTTTAAAGCTCCCGTCTGAAAACTGGAGATAATGCAAATGAATTCTGTTCTCGGATTTTTCTTTTTTTTAAGCCTTCACTGGATCAGGAAGTGTTGTTGCAAATATTTGAGTTTCATCTTGCATGCACCTGTTTTCCTTTAGATCCCCTCCGCCCGGGATCTAAAGGAGAGAACAAGGCCATTTTCCCAAACAAGTGGGCCCTGGAGGCCGCTGGGGGCTCAGCTCCCCAGGCCCCAGCTGGCTCAGGGTCTTTTCTGGGAACAGGTTACTGCTTGCATGACACCATGACAGGGACCGTTCGAACAAAGGCCTGTGGACCCGGTCACAGCCCGCCTGCAGCAACTGACTCTGCACCGAGAAACACTCCAGCCCAGGAGCACGCACTCACCCCGCAGACAGACCTCCAGCCCGCGAGCCCACTGAAGCGTCATTCGTGCGGTTTAGAGGAAAGGGCTGGGATTTGGCATATATTTTGTGATTATTGGCACAACGTCCTTCGTCCGGTTCATGTATAAATGCTGACCTGCGCTGGGGCCAGGGCGCGTCAGCCGATCTGCACCACGTGTGTGTCCGTGAGGCCCGCACGCCCGGGGCCCCGCAGGGACAGCCGCTGCACCCCGTCCTCCAGGGCCTGGCCCGCGGGCTTCGGGGGGCTCCTGCCGTCGTCACCGCTGCTGCTGCCCAGCCCCCGCTGGCTGCCCGCCTTGTCACCCTTATTCTCTGCCCCCTCTGCTCTGTCCCCTGTGGAAACAGAAAGACCCTGCAGTGAGTCCTTGACAGCCCCAAGGGTCCCCTGGGCCCCCCACGGCCGGCCAGCCAGCTGCACCTCCAGACGCCCAGGGGGCACAGAAGCCCTCCGCCCCAGCAGCGCCCCCTGCTTTCCCTCCCTGAGAAGCTGCAGACACCTCTGACCCTCGGAGATGAGACCCTTCCTACGCTAACAGCCAGGAAACGGAAGCCTCCCCAGCGGGTGCGCGTCAAGAGGACTGTTGTGATGAGAGACCTAATCACGTCGGGAGCCACACCGTGGCGCGTCCACAGAGGCCCTGATCGCAGCATCCAGGCTGGGGTCCCCGCCCGCCCCCACCCCGGGGCCGGGGGCTGCACCCACCTCGCTCCACCTCGCACTCGGGGGACGAGGCCCCGCTGCACTCGCTGCGGGGGCCCAGCCCCGGGAACAGCACCCCAAACTCCGACAGGGACACGGGGCTGGGCAGGTCCAGGCTGGCGGGCCGCACGGCCGTGGGGAACTGCTCGGGCGTCTCCGACGGGCTCGTGGGCCCCGAGCTGAAGCTGGACAGGGACTGGGTTTCCGAGTCATCCTCAGACACAAAGGCGCTGCAGCTGTCATCTTCGAAGGCCTCGGAGGCCACTGGGAGGGGACAGAAAGGAGAGCTGTGACTCAAGTCTGACCGAGGGCCACCCAGCCCCCGACACACCTCCGGGCGTCCCCGCTGCGGAGACGGGGCCAGGCCGCTGCAGGACCCGGCCACCAGACCCGAGAAAAGGGCCGTGGGCTCCTCAGCTCGCGAGCCCAGACTCCAGAGCACCCTGGACCCACCGGCGGCCCGGGGCCTTAACGTCACTCTGCAGCCCCTGTCCCAGGAGTCGCCGTCACCAGACACGGCCTGAGGTGGAGTGGGAGGTGAGTTCAGCCACAGGTCGGGTTTTTTCCTCCACCCTGGGCCCCAAAACGGACCCCCGCGGGCCCAGGAGGAGGGCGGGCCTGCGCGACGCGTCCTGACGGAGCTGGCCAGGCCTCGGGGCTGCCTCCTCCCATGCGAGGGGCGTAGGCTGGGACCTCCTCGCTCACCTTCTCACTAACCCGCCGTCTCATGGGATGCGCTCAGAGTCCACTGAGATCACCGCTCGCCGCGAAGGAACACAATTCCCGGGCGGCGCTCTGGGGCTCGTGCCTCACGTGGTTTGTGGAACTCATTCTAACCGAGGCCAGAGACACAGCCTGCAGGCCACCTCAGCTCTGAACAACAGCCCGGTCCCGTTTCCTCCTCCCCTGGCTGTAAGGACAGTCTGCAGCGTCCCACGGAAGTACTGGAGTGCTGGGCACAGAGAATGGGCTCAGGTCTGAGTTCACATCCCACCTTCACTGCCTGCTGCGTACCCTTGGTTAAGTTTCTCAGCGTCTCTGAGCTTCACGTCCCTCTCCACACGGGGCTTACAGGACAATGTATGCTGAAGGACTCATCCCTGCTATTCAAGTGACAGTTTTCCTTGACCTGGGGCCTCACGCTTGAATGTTGGTTGGATGAATTAAGGTGCTGGGCTGGAGGAAGCACAAGCTGGAATCAAGATTGCCGGGAGAAATATCAATAACCTCATATGCAGATGACACCACCCTGATGGCAGAAAGTGAAGAACTAAAGAGCCTCTTGATGGAAGTGAAAGAGGAGCGTGAAAAAGATGGCTTAAAGCTCAACATTCAGAAAACTAAGATCATGGCATCTGGTCCCATCACTTCATGGCAAACAGATGGGGAAACAGTGGCTGACTTTATTTTGAGGGGACTCCAGAATCACTGCAGATGGTGATTGTGGCCATGAAATTAAAAGATGCTTACTCCTTGGAAGGAAAGTTATGACCAACCTAGACAGCATATTAAAAAGCAGAGACATTACTTTGCCAAGAAAGGTTCATCTAGTCAAGGCTATGGTTTTTCCAGTGGTCATCTATGGATGTGAGAGTTGGACCATAAAGAAAGCTAAGTGCTGAAGAATTGATGTTTTTGAACTGTGGTGTTGGAAAAGACTCTTGAGAGGCCCTTGGGCTGCAAGGAGATCCAACCAGTCCATCCTAAAGGAAATCAGTCCCAAATATTCATTAGAAAGACTGATGCTGAAGCTGAAACTCCAGTACTTTGGGCCTTCTGATGTGAAGAGCTGACTCATTTGAAAAGACCCTGGTGCTAGGAAAGATTGAAGGCGGGAGGAGAAGGGGATGAGATGGTTGGATGGTATCGTCAACTCAATGGACATGAGTTTGGGTAAACTCCGGAGTTGGTGATGGACACGGAGGCCTGGCGCGCTGCAGTCCATGGGGTCATGAAGAGTCGGACACGACTGAGAGACTGAACTGAACTGAGGGAGGGATCATGGGGGAAAAGCCAACAGCCAGTATTCCTCAGAAAAGGCAAAGAGGGCATGCAGGCAGACAGGGCTGGGGCAGTCGGTTTCTGAACTGACATGGAAGGAACTACAGCAGCCCTCCGTATTTACTTCCCAGGGATGGCCCTGGTAAATAGGTCCCGGCGCTCAGACACCACGTGTGGAGCGACCCCTTCATTTAGTCCTGACCACCCCTCTCTGCAGCAGACAGCGAGGACCGACTCTCACGTGCCCCGCTTCACAGGGGAAGGAACGGGAAGTCAGGCCTCGGCCCTCGTGAGTCCTGGTGGCAGGGCGGGCAGGTCTCAACCAGCTTCTCCCAAGTCCCCGCGCCCGAGGGCGCGCCTTCCCTGCAGCACTTCTCACAGCCTCGAGTGCCCTGATAACGGCGTGGAATCCCGGGGGTGGAAGCCGTCCCTTCCCAAACTTACCTAAGCACAGCATGCTGACTCAGGACGCTAGCAGCGCCCCAGTGAACGGTGTCCCGCCCGCGGGCGACACGGGGCCCCAGACTCACCGGAAACGGCGTCGGCTTCAGGCTTGCGCCCCGCCGGGCCCTCGGCCGGCACAGCTCCGCCCTCGGCGCCGACGCCGCGCCCGCGGGGCCCCATGGCGCCGGAGCGCCGCCGCTCGTGGATCTCATCCGAGATGGTCTCCAGGTTCCGCAGCGCCGTCTTGTACTCGCCCTTGGCCAGGGCCAGCTTGGCCTGCAGCTCATCCACCGTCTTTTTCAGCTGCTGCTCGGGAGAAGCGGGGGGAGCCGGTGAGCGAGGCCGCGCCCCCGCCGGCCAGCCCAGGCTCCCGAGTGACAGGATCCCTCACCCCCCAGGACGCAGGCCGGGTCCTGGTCCCCCTTCCGCAGGTCTGCACGCACCCGACATCAGTCTCCAGTCCAGTGACAGCCCCGGCTCTACGCCCAGAAGCGACCCGGGGGGCGCCCCCCGCTCCCAGAGGGCACCGGTGGGGGTCCAGGTCTACACGGTCCCACCGCGCGGCCGTCTGAGCCCCGAGCCGTGGACCTCACGCCTGGCTGTGTCGGAAGCCCCCGGCAGGCGTGTGATAAGCCAGAGGGCTGGCCCTCAGTTAGATCGGTCTGCGGCAGCCCCGGAATCGGCACCGCCGGCAACCTCCCCAGGGCCGTGCGGAGGACCACGGACCGAGGACGCTTCGGCCAGAGATGGTGCAGAGGCTCCGCAGGGGCAGGGAGCACCGAGCAAGCAGCCGACGCCTCGGTCAAGCACGTGTCCCCCGACCTGGCGGCCGTGGGGCCGTCTGAAGGCCCACTGCAGAAGGGGGGCTCAGAAGACAGACTTGGCCAGCCCACCCGCTTCAAAGCCGAAGGCCGCACGCAGCCCACCCGCTTCAGCGCCGAAGGCCGCACGTACCTCCAGCTGTAGGTAGTACTTCGCCTTGAGCTCAAAGTAAGGCCTGTGGGAGGCAGACAGAGGGGACCCGTGAGAGCCTGGGCAGCAGTGGCCCCCATTCGCTCCACGGGGCGTCCGGGGCGGCGACTGCGCCGCCCTCCAGCGCTTACTCGGCCCCAACGGGGCCGTGAGGGGAGCGGGGAGAGACCCAGCTCCGGGCCTGACCCATACCAGAAGCTCGCCCAGGGCAGAGGTGCCAGGAGGCCCGTCTCCAGACACAGGAGCCCCACCCGCGGGCCCCGGCCTCCCTGCGGGGTGTTAAGGCCACTCGGAGCGCCCGGCAGGGAGGGCGTCCCACCTCCCCTCCCGGGAAGGAACCGCAGAGGAGAACCTGCCCCAACGCACGCCAGCTCCGCCGAGCTCACTCCGGGAGGGAGAGAGCTTCCCGCACAGCGGGGCCACCACCAGGCCGAGGAGCTCTGGTCAGCCTCCGGGACTCCCCGCGGGACTAGAGGGGACCGATTGTAGGTAGACCCCCCCCCAGGCCACAGGCCAGGGAGAGCGCTCGAGAGGCCTCTGGGCCAGCCGGCGGGGACACACCCGCTCCATTCAGGAGCCTGGGGGTCGGCCCCTGAGGTGGCAGCCCTTCACCCACCGCGAAGCTTGGGGGTCTGTCTGTGGCTGAGCAATCGAGGCCATTCCAGGTCTCTGCTTGCAGGCCCAGCAATTGTGAGGGACGCAGGGAGTCTTCCCCAAGGTCATTGCCAGATGATAATACAGGAGTGGTGATGAGAAGAGCTGGAGAAAAGCTCCATTGAAACCAGTCTTCACAACATTGTAAATCAACTAACAGTTCAAATAAATATATATATACACACATACATTTAAAAAATTATTCCTCTGGGCCCATCTGTGTGTGCATGTAATTTGTGTCAAATGAATTGTGCTTTCAATGTGTTTTGTGGCCTGCCTTTATTACATATAAATGTTACGAACATATTCATATAGTAATGAAGGCAGAACCTATGTCATCATGATTTTAACTGCTATAAACTAGTCCGATGTTTGGAAGTGTCACTACGTATTTAACCAAAGACCCTACTGTTGGACAAGTTTAACTGTTCCTAGTTTTGAATACTGTAGGAAACTTTGGAAATACACATCCTGTCACCAAAAAAGCAGAGAAGAAAGCAGTCTTACGCCACTTCATCAGCTCTGCATCTACGAAGGATGCGTATTATCTACAAAGCTCACACCCATCGTGCGGACAGGTAACCTGAGGGGAAGGGCCATGTCCACCCCGTCAGCCACAGCGCCAAGGGCACACACCCCTGAGTCCCCCAGAACGCAACCGCAGCCCAGGGCCCAGGTAACGCTCTGCCCTTGAGATTCCTTCCTGTGGTCGCAGTTGGGTCACGCCTGGGGGAGCCCCACCCGGGGGTGCAGAGAACGCAGAGAGAGCTGGGGCAGGCGCTGGCGCTGCTGGGGCCACGGGAAAGGCTGAGACGGTGCGGGAGGAGAGCAGCCCAGCCCCGGGGCCCGCGCGCCCCGCTCACTTGGACTTGTTGATGGCCCGCTTGAGCTTCTTCTCCAGCTGCCGCATGCGGCCCATGGCCGCGTTGTAGCGCGCCGCCGTCTCCTTGTGCACCAGCTCGCTCCGCGTCTTGGTCTGCTCCGCCTCCATGACCTGCGGGGCACAGCAGAGGGGCGGGGTCAGCGCGGCCACACCCAGAAGGGCCCCCTGCGGCTGGACCACTTACTCCATGGTTTCAAAAAGATGAGGAATCTGGGGTTAACACATACACGCTATCATGTAAAGCACATCAACCACAAGGACCTCTGTATAGCACAGGGAACTCTGCCCAATATCTTGTAATAACCTATAACAGGAAAGAATCTGAAATATATATCTATTTGTGTATATATACACACATACATATACATGTACACACATACAACTGAATCGCCATGCTGTATGCCGGGAACTGACACGTTATAAATCAACTGTACTTCAACTTTTTAAAATAAAAATGTAAAAATTAAATGAGGAAATTAGTGGGGAAACTTAAGATTAAAAATCTTGCAAAGAGAAGAGGGTCACCCTTCCCGACTCATCTATTCTAATGGAAAAGTCATTTCAGACAAGACTCAACTGCCAATCGGCTAAGGCGACTAGCAGGAAAAGGACAGAACCATATGAAGCATCCTCTGAGCCAGTGGGCTCCTCCTGGTCCCACCGCAGGTCAGGAGCCAATGGGCGGGCAGGAGATGCGAGAGGGACTCGGACATCAGGGGCCTGGGAGCCCTCCAGAGCCAGGTGGGTGCAGCAGGCCAGCGGGAGGATGAGGACCTCAGCGGTCCGGCCCCTTCCCAAATGTTCCGGCTTAGATGGTGGACACAAAAGAATCCAGGGCCCAGAAGGATTAAGCAGAAACGGATTCTGGGGCTCACACAGATCTTTGTGGCCAGAAAACTCGTCAGCTAGAATGCTGGGGAGAACATTTTCAAAATGGATTCAAAACCCAAGAGTCCCGGGCCCTCTATGGGGGCTCAAAGGCACATTCCCAGAAGCAGGGACAGTGTCGGTTCTTTCCCCACTGACCTAGAAACGCATCAGAACAAGGCCGGCTGGGAGGAGAGAGGATGCAGGAGAGAAAAAGCAGTTTGGGCCACGAAAACAGCTGGCAACTTCCTTCCCACCTTCTACTTACAACTCACCCAAGTACGGAATGAACTAGAAAGGGGGACACAGGGCCAGCTTTTAATTTTACCCAAAGAGCAGCACAGAGACGCCCAGAGGGCCCTCAGATTGCTGGTCCACCGTCTTAGACCCAGCAGGACTGTTTCAGGAGGACACCACCCAGGAGGCAACCTGCAGTCCAACACCCGCTCCGGGAAATGGCCAGTCAGCCCAGGGCAGTTTCCTTATGCACTTAAAATTAGGTGTTTTTTAAGAATCAGGAGAAATTCTGAAAGACTCTGACATGAGCAGAAAACATCTAGGCATCCTATCTATTGCCCCCTTCTCCAGGATATCTCTGCCTTTCCTTGTCTTGGAGCTATTTCATGACCCTACAAGTTGTGGGAAACTGATAGTAACACAAATGATTCTTATCCCTAGAAATCAAGAGGAAGTGTGTGGAGATGCATTTGCTTATTGTTTGCCCTGTAAATACTGACCAATGCTGTATCTGCCTGTAAATTCACCTTGGCACTCTTGAACTTAAGCATGAGTGCTTTTTTCTGAATTCTCCTTTCAAAGAGCTGTAACATCAGATTTGTTCCATCCTTAACTAATGCGTTAAATAAAATCTTTTCTAAGAGAACACTTTACACTTACCAGAGTTAAAGCTTTACCTTCTTCTAAAAAAAAAATATATATATATGATTTTAACAATGGTTTTAATGCTTGAGATACTTTTAAAAACAGAATTAGAACAAAGTCAGAGAGGGAAATAGGGAACCAAGACAAGCTTGCCAAAATGACCTCTCAATCAAGATCAAGGGGCTTGGGAAACCCTTCCGCTTGGCTTCTCACATCAAAGACGTCAGAGAGAGACTGAAATGAACACAGAACCTCACCAGCTTCGTCACTGAGGGAAACAGCAGTAGCTCTTCAGTCTAAAGCTGTAAGGATTTACGGCTGTAACCTTTATGAACACGCAAAACCCAAGCGTATCAGACAGATGAAGACATGCTGTGGTGATTGGTTCTACTGCAAGAGGATTCAGTGCAAAGTTCACCTTTAAGGACCTCTCTGAAAGCATTTTATAAGGTTTTTTTTTAATCGTTTTTTGATATGGACTGTTTTTAAAGTCTTTATTGAATTTGTACGATACTGCTTCTGTTTCATGCTTTGGTTTCTGGCCGCGAGGCATGTGGGATCTTAGGTCCCCAACCAGGGATGGATCCTGCACCCACTGCCCTGGAAGGTGAAGTCCTAAACACTAGACTGCCAGGGAAATCCCTGAAAGCATTTTAAAGAGAGACCTACAAAAGCTGTGATTTGAGGCTACAGTAAAGAGCATCCCCTGCAAGAAGCAGGGTTCCCACCAAGTGCACACATAGGCCCTCACTTTTCCTTGGTCCTTAGTCTGCAAAAAAGCTTTCTAAAGTTAAACCCTCGAAGAATCCAAGCACTTGGCAACGCTGCCAGTGCCGACTGAGACAGCAGCAAGCACGCTGCCCCCTGCCTCACCCCCACCGGCCACACCGACCACCCCCTGTCCTAACTCCCGGACTCCACGTGCACACAAATGCCTGCTGTCAAAGGAGAGCCCCTCGCTCTGCTTCCTGCCTCCGGGGAGAAAGTCGCCAGGGGTGCACCTTGATTACGCCTCCTCGGTAACTCAGCAGCCCCTAAAGCCTGGACTCGGGCGTGAACTGTGCCCAGGGCTGAGAAAACAGTGCTGGGAAGGTGGAGGCCGTGAAAGCGGAATGAAGAGGTCCCTGCAGGCCTCGAGGTGCCCAGACACACCTGCAACCCAGACCTGAGGAGCCGGTGCGGCGCCCAGACCTCCACGAAGACCAGGCTCCCGGGCTGGACTGCAGCCCCCGCAGCCGCTCTACACCCTGCCCTTCAGTGTCCGCCAACCAGCTCAACTCCAGGCCGAGTACACCGATGATGCGCGTCCTGGGTGCTCGGAGCAACTGGGCACCGAGCCCTGGGCCACCAGCCTCACGGTGCAGACACTCGGTGGCACCACGTCACTCAGGCGGCTGAGATCCAAGCTGCTAGGGCTACCTCAGATCGGGGTGGGGGGCCGCAAGGGGGAGGCAGCACAGGCTGCGCTGGGCAGCTCGGTGCAGGGTGCTGGGGGCTCGGTGCAGGGTGCTTGGTGCAGGTTGCTCAGTGCAGGGTGCTGGGGGGCTCAGTGCAGGGTGCTGGGGGGGTTCAGTTCAGGGTGCTGGGGGGGTTCAGTGCAGGGTGCTTGGTGCAGGTTGCTCAATGCAGGGTGCTGGGGAGTTCAGTGCAGGGTGCTGGGGGCTCAGTGCAGAGTGCTGGGGGCTTGGTGCAGGGTGCTCAGTGCAGGGTGCTGAGGGCTCGGTGCAGGGTGCTTGGTGCAGGTTGCTCAGTGCAGGGTGCTGGGGGGTTCGGTGCAGGGTACTAGGGGCTCAATGCAGGGTGCTGGGGGGGCCCGGTGCAGGGGGCTCAGTGCAGGGTGCTGGGGGGGCTTGGTGCAGGGTGCTGGGTGGCTCAGTGCAGGGTGCTGGGAGCTCAGTGCAGGGTGCTGGGGGACTTGGTGCAGGGTGCTGGGGGACTTGGTGCAGGGTGCTGGGGGCTCAGTGCAGGGTGCTGGGGGCTCAGTGCAGGGTGCTGGGTGGCTCAGTGCAGGGTGCTGGGGGCTCAGTGCAGGGTGCTGGGGGCTCAGTGCAGGGTGCTGGGGGACTTGGTGCAGGGTGCTGGAGGAAAGGCATGAGTGAGGAAGCCCTTAGGGGGGGCTTGGCACAGCCAAGCATCCACTCTCCACGGGAAGCGTGCAGCTGCCCACCTCCTTCCCAAGGCTGATAGGCTCCTAGAGAAACCACTCTTTTCTGGCTCCCACACCCCCCCGAGGGAACTGTGTTCCTGGGCTGACCCCTGGGTGCACCAACCTCTGTGGATTCTAATGATGAAGAAGTCAGCCTCCCTGGGGTTTCCCAAAACTCACAGACATGCACTCCTGCCCCTACAGGTTGGTTCCAGATACCCAACAACCGACCACCCACTGCTGCCCACCGGGAGGGTTTGGGGCCTGAGTGGCCGGGCCCTGGGCCCAGCAGGCAGCGGGCAGTGAGTGGGACCTGGGGGGCATGCCACGCAGCCGCCCCCGGTGCTCGGGAGCCTGAGGCGCCAGCGGCCCCCTCCAGGGCCAGCAGGACAGGGAGCACGGGGGCCAAGCAGGCCCCCTCCCGGGAGGCACAGGGCAGCCCAGGCCCTCTGCTCACAGAGACACAGACGCTGCTCACACAGACACTGCCTGCCGGGACACCAGCGGGCACTGAACGGGTGTGTCAGCCGGGCTGGGGGCCCTGCCGGCAGAACGGCCCAAACTGGGCTCCTCGCCTCACTGTCCGTCTTGCCTAGCCCTGTCGAAACACGCACCCTCAACCCGAGCATCCCAAAGCCAAGAGCAGGGCCCCCCGCTCCCAGGAAGGCAGCATCGGGGCCCGCTCAGACCCTCAGCCCGTTCAGGCCGCCTTCTGATTCTTCCTGTGCTCCTGGGCAGGTGAGCCCGAGGAGGCGGCATCTCAGGGCCTGGGTGACAGGTGGCACCTGCCCACCAGCACAGAAAAGCGGGCCTGATGGCTCAGGTGCCTCCCAGGGCGCAGGGCACACCCCAGGCCTCTCCTCCCAGCAGCCGCTGGTTCTAACAGTTCCCGCCTCCCCACGACAAGCCACGTCCTCCTCCTCCTCTCTGGCCTTTCTGCATAAACAGAAAGACCAACGGCTCCCTCCTGGAGGGTGGAAACCTATCACCTCCGTCTCAGGGCTGCTGCTCAGCCAAACCAGGTGGAGCTGGGGAGGCAGGGGGCGTCGGCTGCCTAAAGCCCAAGTGGGAGCAGCAGGGACCGCGCACCCCCAGGCAGGCCCCTCAAGCGCACTGCAGAGCTCAGCTGACCCCAGCACTGAGCGCAGGACCGCTCCTCTGCCCCCGCCTGGGGCCCTGGACATGGCCAAGCGATACAGACCCTGGGGGTCCCACGGCAACCACAGCTGGGGCCGTCACTAGGAGTCTGGAGGAGCAGAAGGGACACCCAGAGGACTCTGGGGAAGGGGACGTTGGGACCACAGGGTCCTTCCACTGCCTGGGGTGGGGGCCACCCCGCCCAAAGCAGGGCCGCTTTCTCGAGATGGCCTGGACCCTGCTGAGCTCCGCATCCTTCTCTGGACGCTTCCGTGGCACTTTCTTCAGCACAAGAGGGCCCTTCTCCTGAAGAAACAGACTTCCCAGAGGACTCAGAAGTCAGCAAAGGGCGAGGACACATTCTAGGCCTTTTACTTCGTCCACCAGCATTCAAGAAGCCCAGGTATGCCAGGGCCCCGGGAGGGCAGCTCACAGCAGGGCCACCCACGAGCATTTCTGCCCCACCCGTCATGGCCACAGAGCCTGCCCCCTCCAGGCTGCGCTTCTCAGGGACACGGGGACACAGTCCCAGACAGCTCTGCCGTGCGCTCTGCCTCTTGCTGGCGCCACTCTTCAACCCTCCTTCTCTCTCCTCGGGTCTGAGCCCCCTGAAATTGGGGAGGAAGCGAGGGAAGAGGGCCAGGAGCCCCCCAGGGTGGAAATCCTGGCCCGTGACCCAGGAAGTCTGCTTTCTGCAAAGGTCACCCCCACAAGCAAGAAACCACGGCGGCCTCAGTGAGGGAACACGTCAGATGCCCCCCCATGTGATGTCAGCAGGCCCAGGGCTGCCTTGGACAGCTCTACAGGTTGCGCACTGCACAACCCCAAGGAGCACTATTCCCAAACACGGGTATGAATGGTGTTCTCGGCCACGGGGTGTGGAGGTCCTGGGGACACCTCTCCTGGAGTTGCCATCACCATCTACTACGGCCCTAGGACTTAACAAGTAGGAGGAGAAAAAGCAGAAATGTTGTTATTTTTGTAAAGAACACATTAAGTGATTTCTGCAATGATTCCTAACTAGCTGATATGGATCTTGGTTGGGGTGAAAGGGAGGGTGGGAAGAAAAAGCAGGCCTTCAGTGAAGTACTTGGAAGGAGGTTTTTTTTCCCCCCTCTCCCCCATCCTTTTTACTCTGTCAGGCTACTTGTAAATGTCCAACATTCCCGACCTCCCCTGTGGGCGCTCCCCAGTGGACCCAGGAAAGCTTTCCCAGCCTGCGTTTGGCTCTCCAGGCCTTGTGTCCACCAGGAGGCAAGAGGTTCCAGGCCACACAAGCCCAGTTGGGAGTCTGGGCTTTAGCGGGGCGGCGGTGGTGGAGTCAACGTGGATTCAACACCAAGTCCCAGCCCTTTGTGAGTCAGGTGTTCTATTTAGGGAAGCTCAAGGCCATCTTTAATCATCATGTCCTCCAGGACCTGAGCCGAGAGTGGCAGGTGACACTGGAAAAAGTTCTGTTCTAGCCCCGCAGGCGGCCTCTCGGGAGCCCCCACCCCTAGGTCACCCCACATCCAAGGCCTCAGCAAGCAGGGAGGGGCACTGAACATCCCGCAGGACCCTCTGCAGCCTGGGCGAGTCAGGGAGAGGCGAGGCATCCAGCGACCCCCATCACTGCCGATACTCAGGCCTGTGGTCAGAGAGCAGGTCCCGGGAGCTGCTGAATGGTGCCCCATGACGACCTCAAACCCAGCAGGCACAGCCAGTGAAGCCCACAGCCTGCAGAGCCCGCTTCCCGCCGGCACCCTGGTTCCCCAGACCGCACCCAGCCCGGGCACCCCCGGGGTTCAGGCCTCAGCCGCCACGGCCCACCTCTCACTGAGGGCACACACGCCCCAAGGCCAGGACAGCAGGTCATCCAGATCGTTCACCCCGAGCTCCAAACCCTGCCGGACTCCGGGGACTCAGAGGGAGGAGACCCTGGAGAAGGACTGGGGGTCCCCTGAGGAAGCCCACACTGGTCAGGACTGTCGAGGATCATCTGAACCAGAGGGATCTCAGCTGACAAGGACGGGGCCGCTACGCCTGGCACCAGGAGGCTGACACCAGGGAGGATGGCTTAGTACCAGCCCGTGGAGACCGCCCCCCCCCCCAACCCCACCCCAGAGACGACCACCTGTGGGCGTACAACATGCCTGTTTGCTCTGCTCAGGGAAACCAGCGGGGAATCCGGGGGTCTGAGAGGCACGCACACGCCCGGTCGCAGGAACCCGAGGCGGGAGCAAGCCCAGCCCCCTCCCCGCGGCAAGCCCACCCAGCCCGCCCACACGCAGGTGAGTGCACACAGGCGCGCCCCGCGGAGACTCCTACCCTCTGGGTGGCGTGGTTCAGCATCTCCTGCCACGCTGAGTCGAACTGCCGCTTGTCGTCCTCCAGCAGCCGCTGCTCGGCCAGGGAGATGGTCTCCTTGGCGGCGCGGAGCACCTCGGTGGCCCTCTGGAAGTCCTGGGTGGCCCGCTGAGCCTCCAGCTGCGCCTGCGCAGGAGAGACCTCGTGAGACCTCGGACCCGGCCGGGGCCGTTATAACCCCCGCCCCAGGAGATGGGCGTCCTGAGGGTCTGCACGGGCGCGGTCCTTCTCTGCATGTGCAGCCGGGGGGACAGGCCGGGCACCCGCAGGCGCGTGCAGACGCCGGATGGGGCGTGTGGAGGGTCTTCCAGCCTGGGACCCAGCGGACCCAGATGCACCAGCCGGCTCTCGTCGGAGTTAGAGGCAGCAGAGTAGCCCACGTGCGGCAGGCGTGCCGACCGCGGGCCTTCACAGAGATGCTGGCACTTGCCAGTGGGGCCGAGGGCAGTGTCCCCAGCCCCACCCCCCGCCCAGGCCCATGGTCTAGTTCAGAGCTCGGGAGAATCCGAAAGGCCCCGGAGAAAACAGCCCAGCAGCGTCATTCTGGGTGGGGACCCTGGCTCCAGGAGGCCCAGGCTGACCCCCACGCCCACGCAGCTGTGTCCAGACTCCAGCTGCTCGGAGTCCCGGCCCCGTGGGGTGAGGACGCTTCAGGACAGGCCCCCACTCACATCGCACGCACCCACACCAGCGACCGGGTGCAGGGAAGACCCTAATGGTCACAGCGCCGTCCCTGCTCTCAAGGACCCTCAAGTGGGAGGATCAATAGAAACAGCGGCCAAGCTCTGGACCTTTCAAGAAGTAACACGTCATTAATCCAAAATGAGTGTGAACACCCCGCACTTTAAAGTCTCAACACAGAGAAAAGTGATCTCCTTAACTAACATCCGTGTTGCCTACATGATGAAATGACAGTATTTTGTACCTACTGGGTTAAAATATATTATTAAAACTAATTCCACCTGCTGTTTTTTGTTTTTTTTTTTTTTACTGGGACTAGAAAATTGAACGTTACTTAGCTCATTCACAGTCTATTGCTTTTCGGCAGTAGAAACATTCCCCCGGGGGGGGGGCATGTGGTTTGCACCAGAAATTTGCAACAAATCCTTGTCACCACCCTGGGCAGGCTCAGCCTGGACTCCTGGCCAGAGAGCAGGTGAGCTGCTGCCCCATGCTGGCTTGCTGCAGCCTCCCACCCGCCCACCCCTGCTAACACGACCCCTCGGTCAGTTGCATAAGCTGGGCGTCAACCCCGGAGTGGTCCCTGGGACCCAAGAGTTGGCGGGGGCGGGGGGGGGGGACCAGGCCCTCCCCCATCCCGAGTCAGCCTCCTGTGACCCAGAGCAAGTCTGTGAAAACCACCGGCCTTTTTCCAAAGGTGGTTAGGAAGAGCGAACTCAGACTTGGAGTCCATCAGCCCTGGGGTGGGGAGGGAGGGATGTGTGACCCCCACCTCGGAGCCATCACTTTGCACTTCAGGTCACACCCAGCCTGGGGGCACGGACCCAGGACAGCTTCTTAAAGGACAATCCTGAAGCAAGGGCTGGGAGTCGGGATGATCTGAAAATTCAGGGTTGGTTGGGGGGTGGGGGGCACGCTGAGAGGAAGCAGAGAGGGAACAGAGCGTCTCCAGGAGGCATGACAAAGACCCTGATCAGGATTTAAAGGGGAATCAAGGACGGAGGCCTTGGGGGACTTCCCTGGGGGTCACTGACTGAGAAGCCATCTTGCAAGGCAGGGAACACGGGTTCCGTCCTCGGCAGGGTAGCTTAAGATCCCACATGCCGCAGGAGAGCTAAGCCCATGTGCTGCAAATTCGGAGTCGGATGCCACAAGGAAGACCCAGCACGGCCAAAATTTAAAAAAAGAAAACAACGGGGGCCTTGAGCGCATGTCAGGCTAAGGCTTTAACCAGGGGACCTGCCTTCTGCGACCCACTCCCATCGTGCAGCCCCGGGCCCTCCCGCTGCGCCTCTAGCAGCTGGGGGCCACCCTTGAGAGCTGACAGACCCCCGAGAAGACAGCGTGGTCCGCTGCCAACAGCAGACTCACCACTGCAGGGCCTGGACCCCAGCTCCACAGTGCCCCTCCAGGGCGGGGACAGCCCTGGACCGCCGGCCCAAACATGCTGGAGGGCCCGCAGCATCAAGACGCAGTCCGACACCAAACCTCAGGCCAACCTGCAGGCTGCAAACCAGCGCCAGCAGACCATAATTAACCCCGAGGGACTTTTTCTAAGCAGGGATTTGTATGTAGGGAAATTTTAGTTTAGGGCTTCCCTGATAGCTCAGTTGGTATCCGCCTGCAATGCAGGAGACCCCAGTCCGACTCCTGGGTTGGGAAGATCCGCTGGAGGAGGGATAGGCTACCCCTCCAGTATTCTTGGGCTTTCCTGGTGGCTCAGCTGGTAAAGAATCTGCCTGCAGTGTGGAAGACCTGGGTTCGACCTCTGGGTTGGGAAGATGCCCTGGAGAAGGGAAAGGCTACCCACTCCAGTATTCTGGCCTGGAGAATTTCAGGGACTGTATAGTCCATGGGGTTGCAAAGAGTTGGACACGACTAAGCGACTTTCACTTTTACTCTAGTATTTCAATTCAGCAACATTTAAGGATAAACTCTCTTCTCCCAGGTTGTCTTGCTTGAGTTATAAAACTTTTCTTTCTTCAAACAAACAAAAAAAGATGATGCTCTCATGGGGACCTTCTGAAATGTGGTTACTGTGACCCGGGTCCAGCCCATCGTCACCGGCTGCCGTGTTATCTGCTGCCTTCCAAATAAGGAAACCACACCCTACAAGGAAGGAAAAGAGGAAGGCCACCTGAAGTGGCCCTGCAGAAGAACACAGCTCTGTCAAGTCCCTGGGTATTTTCCCCAAGGTTCCTTCCCTCCTGTGATACCAGAAATGGGTTTTCCTTGTCATGTCGCGGATCCTGCTAACATGATGTTTGGTCGACATTTAACCCACAGAAACCAAACGGCATCTTTCCATCACTTATCCCCTCATCCATTCATTCACTCAAGTTAAGTGCTGGGCCTGTGTTCTGTACCCACTGTCTGTTCTTTGCATCTTTCTTGGAAATAGAGCCTTCATGTCTCCAGGTGAGGTGATGTCCCAGCTAAGACCCTTTTCCCAGCTGTCACTATAGTGAGTGCCTCTGTTCCTTTTACCTAATGAGATATAAAAGGACATGGAGTGAGACTTCCAGGATCGTCTTTCCATCTGTGACATGAATACAATGGCTGGTGCTTCAACAGCCGTTTTGTATCATGAGGCAATTCTCTTAAGGATGAAGAAACAGAAAATTAGGCCCTGCCCTGACTTTTCACACAACAGAGAACGTAAAGTTTCATGTTTAAGCCAGTGTCATTTGAGGGTTTTCTGTTAACATTCCACCAAAGTGAAAGTGTTAGTCGCTCAGCAGTGTCCAGCTTTTTACGACCCCACGGACTGTAGCCCACCAGGCTCCTCTCTCCATGGGATCCTCCAGGCAAGAACACTGGAGTGGGTTGCCATGTCCTTCTCCAGAGGATCTTCCCAACCCAGGGATCAAACTCGGGTCTCCTTCATTGCAGACAGATTCTTTTCCATCTCAGCCACCACATGAGGAGGGATATTCAGCCAAATCTAAACCTACATGATAATGTATCTTTCCCTCCACACAGCTGGGCTATTCTGCAAACTTGAGAGACATGACTACAGCAGCCTGCACAGACCAGTCTAATCTCTCTCAACGTCCTTCTAGCTGCACACAGCCCATGTTACACCTTTAAGCCCAAGGAAACAAACTGGGCGCTTCCTAAAGAACCCCAAAGTGCCTGACCTCTTTGTAGGGCATTTTGTAAACATTTTCACATACATGAAGAAGATCCAGGAAGGCTCACACATGGGGAGGGGAGAAGGCATCAGACCCCGCCCCCCCGGCAGGACATGGGCCATCAGCTGTCGATGAGGCACCTCCTGGACGCTAAGTTCTGGGGGCGAGGGGAGATGCAGCCCACAGCAAAATAATGAGGTACAGCTCAGCTGGGAAAACAGACGCATTCATTACAAATTCCCAGACAGACAGTGACAAGTGACAGGTGTAAAGCACATGGGACCATTGCTAAGAGAGTGAAATCAAAGCTTTCTTAGGGCAGAGTCCTTGATGGAGAGGGTGTGAGGCACCAGGCTCGGCCATGGAAATACAGGGGCATCTGAGAGCTCACGCCCACGTCAGAGTGACGAGGCTTCACTCAGACTGCTTGCCTGCGTCCTAACAGGACACGTGACCTCGAAAATCAGAAGCCAACTGAGCGTCCAAAAGTGAATCAGAAAGAGAAAGATAAATACGGTATTCTAACTCATATACACGGAATCTAGAAAAAATGGCACTGAAGAATTTAGTTACAGGGCAGCCATGGAGAAACAGACATAGAGAACAGACCTACGGACATGGGGAGAGGGGAGGAGAGGGTGAGGTGTATGGAGGGAGTAACACGGAAACTTATATTACCATATATAAAATAGATAGTCAACGGGAATTCGCCGTATGATGCAGGGAACTCCAACAGGGGCCCTGTGTCAACCTAGAGGCGTGGAACAGGGAGGGAGATGGGAGGGAGGTTCAAAAGGGAGGGGATATATGTCTCCCTGTGGCTGATTCATCTTGCGGTTTGACAGAAAACAGCAAAATTCTGTAAAGCAATTATCCTTCAATTAAAAAAAAGTAAAAGGTTAAAAAAAAAAGCAGGCAATCCGGTTTTCACCATCGTATGAAAGACGACACCTAGAAATCTTTGGCACAACTGACTGAGTTTTACCTTCAAACTTCAACAAGGGACTCCAGCCCTGATGTTAATTCATTAGCTGATTCAGGGCTCCCTGGTGCGTACAGGGGCCCGAGCCAGTTAGCAAACCAGACCAGAGCTAGGCCCGCCCAACACGGCTCTGAGGAGGAGACACCAGCGGAGCTGTCAAAATGCAACACGGGAAAAAGACGACAGGCCTTCGCGACCTGTGAACACGTAACGGATTTCACAGACACTGCTCTATGCAGAAAGCATTAAAAGGCGGCCTGTGAACGGATCTGGTAAGGGGCCAGCCATGAAATAAAAAGACGCTTACTCCTTGGAAGGAAAGCTATGAC